GCAGACTGTGGGCGAAATAGCCCGTAGTATGGCGTTCGACTCCAAACATATCCAAGGCACTGCGTGCAAACGTCCGAGTATCGGGGATTGTGAAGCAATGCTTGACATCGAACATGTTAGACTTGACATACATCGGACAGTAGCACTGCACAATAACGGAGCTCCTTTCCAATTCTGCCTCCAGACAATCACTGAATTGGGTAACAAACGCTTTGGTTGAGGCATAGAGAACATGGTATGGTAGTGGCAGCTGTGAGGAGGCTGAAGAAATATTGATAATGGCTGAACCGGTAGTTTGGGACAGCATACGGGGCAGCAAGACGCGCGTCATACACGCTGTGGAAATCGAATTACATGTGATCATTCTTTGGATCTTTGCGGTGGTGAGGGTCGGCTCCAAACCGAATTCTTCCCAATGTTGATTGATCATACCGACGTTGTTGACTAGACAGGCGATTGAAGATAATTTACGAATTCCATCCTCGATACGCTCATAGATGTCATGCTGAACAAAGCGGAGATAAAGTTGGAAAATAAGTATTAAAACGGCAGTCCAATCCAAGAAATGATCTCTCTAAACTAAATGAGAATGGAAAGAAAACAATTAGTAAATAACAGCAATATAGTTTCAGTTGATTTTAATATTAATTTGGTTCGAAGGAAACCATCTCGTGAAAGCTGTGTTATCATCTCATCATATCATATCGTCATTGGAAAAGCTAATCAGAAAAAATCACGGGGTGTGAACAATGTGTTGTACTTTAGAACGGCGATGAACAACATTGCCTATGGTGTGCTCAGCCGCCCGGCTCAAAGATAGCGGGTTTGGAAACCCAATGGAAAAACCGCGGATGTTTTCTAAGCGGGGAACACAGAACCAAGGGGTAGCTTCTCATCTTCCAGGACTATTAGACTGTGTCTCCCAAGTTCAGCTTAACGAGGGAACTGACGAGGCTAACTGTGGGTGACCGCATTTAACGTGCTCGATATGTCTTTGGAGACACCCAGCATTGAGGATCACAATTTTGCAAAAAGTGTTGGATTTGTGTGCATTGTTTTTGTCAACTAAAGGCTGTCCCCAAGGGGTCATTCTCAATAGAACTCACTAAATGTCTTCTGAGCCAAATTGTGT